TTGAGGCCTGACATCTGTCGGCTAATTTTAAGAAGTTAAATTCCGATCATTCCCGCAAGGCGGCAATGTACTAACCGTCGTACATATCTCGATTCCTCTGATACTATGATTCTGCTTCCAGCTGGCGCTGTTTGTGGCGGTGAGAAATTTCGTACCATGGCTTGGGGACATTGGCTGAAGGTGAGAGAAATCGCATGAAGAGCTCTCTCAATCTTCCTTCTAAGATCTTCAAGTTCAAATCCCTTTATAGCTGAAATAGAAGATCTGGGAATTTGATAACCCTCATGCCCGTCCATTCAGAAGGACATGAATGGGAAGGCTTGAAGTATAATATATTAACAGGAGCTGCCATCGCCCTTACGTATAGATACAGTAATGAGGTCAAATAAAGTAATGCCCGTGAGAGTGCTATGAATATTCACGTGCAGAAAATCTTGCGCAAGAAAAAGTTTGGAGTAAGTTCTACATTCAGCCGATATCCGCCGAAACTTTCGTTGAGAATTTCAATACGCCCAACGGATGTCCTGGAACTATTGCTTTTGTATATTCGCTGGATGTTCCTTTTGGATGTTCAACTGATCTTTGAACTGATCTTTGAATCTGCATGTTGCAGATTCCCAGGGACCGGGAAATGACAGACAGGCTCAAAGTTTGTTGAGCTGCATAGAAAATTGCACTACATAAATGAAAGCAGTGATTTTTTGCGAAATTTGTGATTTTTTTGCATATTTCAGGGCATCACATCTCCCTAAGCGGAATTTGTTGGGACGAATATATGACATGCATCAGTAGATCTTTTCCCGCTGAATCCAAAAACATACATAATGATAAAGTTTTCTGAACATATTGACGATTTGCAAATTTCTGAATATGCCAAAATTGCGAAAATATTACATTGCTTTATTTTCTTCAGTATCGCCTCGAGGAAGAGAGTGTATGAAATAACTTCGAAAGTCTAATCATTTAAAAGAACAATGGTGTTTGTTGCGATCGTTTAAGCCGAAAAGTTTTCGGCCCACATGAGCATGAAGAGGTGCCCCCTTTTGAAGTTTCACAAAATTTTGCGAATTATTGCGCAAAAACGGCTCCATACCCGAAGCCAAAATTTTGCATTCTTACTTTGGCCATGAGGGGTACCATTAAAAAAAATTCGTCAATATCGAAGGAGGTCATGCTCCGGCCTCTGGCTGATTTGAGATGGAATGACCCTAATACTACGGTAGATGCAAATTAAGTCGATGGAAATAGAAGTGGAATCACTGATCACTCATCCCTATGGGTTGAACAATATTGATGAAAAGTGAAACTTGATGCATTAGTTCATATCAATGGGTCAAGATGTCATTTGAAATTTGAATATCGAATGAAGAAAATCTACGAATGAAGTTAGTCAAACATTCAAAATAAAACGTGGGGAGGTGGTCGCATGAGTCTTCCATTCTGAACTATTAATATATGGAGTGAATCGTTTGAAGGAGGGAACGTTGAAGGGTCTTTCTTTGCAATCCTGTTAGACTCTTCACCACAGGGAAGATATCCTGTTTTATTTTTTTCCATTAAGATAATGCAGATGCTTCTTTTTTTTTTAGAAATCTACCTCTCACCAAATATACCAACATACTGCTGCGACTTCTGTAACATCTCTTTCGTTGTGGTGGGTCTTCCGATGTTAGATTGAGCATAGGTCCAGATGGCAGGGATGCAACTGAATTACATTATTGCACTGTATCGAACATCTTTTGATCTCATGTATCAATGGGATAGAGTCCAAGGTCATTTTTCTCAACTTAGTCGATGTCTATGTAATGCCACACTCAATGAACAAGAACGGACGCTTGAATTCCAAACTGCAAACTTAACTTCTCTTTAAAATAGCGGAAGCGAAATAAAAACAGAAAAGACACTACGTATATTGTGTGAATTCATGTGTTATTTAGCGTAAGTTCCGCAAAATAAATTGAAAACTCGTCCACTCAAGAGCACATGAATGTAGTTGTTTATTTTATTGATACATCAGAATGTGGGTTCATTCCACATCGTCGCCATGATCAACAAAAATGTATATTCCTTCATTCCGGGTAATATTTGAGCAAACGGCACTTCATTTCTTCTTGGAATTCTTCCCCAACCTTTTGAACAATGTTTTGAATGTCTCTATCATACCTCTCGGTGTTTCGTCATCCCAATCTCCATGGAGCAATTCGCTTTCCAAACTCTGAAAATCGATTCCTTCTCTCTTCAACACAGACATGACGTCGGGGAACACGGAATACGTACCTGAGACCTTCTCATCTAGTATCTCCTTCCAAACTTTGCGTACTTGCTTTACCTGCTCAAGTTGCTCAATCCGCCTCAGAAACCCAGCCTGACTGTTCTTCTTCTCTGCCTGAATGAGGAATTCGATGTACTCCTCCAAAGGAAGGGGGTCCGGATTAAGAGAGATTTCTTTGAGTCGAATCTTGGTCGCGTGAGCTTCTTGAATCCGACATACCAGCTCCACCTGGCTCCTCCGAATGCTCATGGCTAGCAGTCTCAGTTGACTCTTGAGCTGTCTCTTCTCGGCGACCTTCACGACACCTTCGACACCCTTGCACTTGGAGATTGTTCTCACTTCGTATCTCTTAGCTTCCAGTCGATGAGTCTTCCATGAGCATCGGCACTTTTTGCATTTGAATTTAGTGCCGGGTCTAATGCATTTGCTCTCCTTGATGTCCTTGGACTTTGATATCGTGGCTGGATACTCGCAGGTGGTCTGTTTGCAGTTGGAGCAGTTGATGGCCTTTTCCTTTTCCAAGTGAATTTTAAACCAATCCTCCACTACGTCCATGGTCTGCGAGACTTCCAATTCCTTCTTCTTGAGCTCCCTGCATTGCTCTTGAAGATCGCAAATTTTAGAAGACACTAGGTGAAAGCAGAGAAATATGATTAACCTCAAGAAAATGAATAGCTCAAAGCTTCACATAAAATGTACTTCAGCTAACCTCCTTGGATATCCTCTTGCAAGTTTTTCAAGGCCTTCGCCAGGGCTCCTCTTTCGACGAGCACCTCTTTCGTCAGATCCAAGCTGATGGATGCCTCATTGCCCAACGACTCCAGGAACATCTTGTTGTTCTTTTGTCCCATGACCCAGAACATTTTTTGCATGCAGTCCTCATTGCATGCGTAGAGAGCAGAGTTATTGAAGTTGTATCTCTCTCGATAGAAGAGCTTCGAGCTCTTCACAGTATTGATGGCTGGCGACACGTCCTGTCCATCAGAAAAACTCAGGAGGAGCACGAACTTCTCTTTGGTGTCGATCCCAAATAATTGCGTAACAGCATAAAATATGTACTTCTGTGCGGCCGTGAGTCTAGTTGTGGAGGCTGGCAACACATATCCGACTGCATGTATGGAGTCCAGACCATGCGGAGCACACACCTCAAAAAACTCCCGCAGCTGTAGGAGAAGATGCTCTGCTCTTAAATAAGAAGTAACTCCCCATAATGATTATCC